AACGCCACCAGTTACCGGCGCTAAGGCGGCGTTTGCCGTCGCGGTAGACGGTTCTCGGTTGCTTAGACCTTCGCAAAACATAACTGGTCTTAAAATTTACCGGGGCTGTTCGTCCGCCTCGTGCTAATTCCAGTCGCTGCCGCCTTTATGCTCCTGGGAGCAGACGCTCACCCCGGTCGTCCTCGCGCTCGGGACGAGGAGTTGGTGCGCTGGTGTGGCCGTTGGCTCTGGGAACCTGCCTTTTAACATGCTGGCCAAAACTTGTCTGAATTACGCCGGACTATGAGCCTTTAAAAAATACACGGGGTTGAGAATTTAGGTTTCAGTGGCTGAATTTGTAGAAGGCTCTGCCCTTGCTAGCTGGGCTGCAGTCAGACAAAAACGGGTTTTCTTCGCAATTTGCAGCTTTGCGTTGCTCCCTGCCTGGCCAAGCGTGGACGTGAGAAGCTGAGAGCAAGCAGAACTGACTCTCTTTTGCCAGCAACTGCATTGCCAGGCCTCAGAAGTGGGAAAAGGGAAGCTGCCTGACCCCAGCAGAAGAGGGGCTGCAAGAGCAGACACGGGCAAGGGCATGAGAGAGACCAGCTGGAGGAGAGCGAGATGCTGCAAGTTGAAAAAGGGAAGAGAAGTGCTAAAGCGGTGCTCTGAATCTAGCAAGTCCATGTAATTCCGAGTGCTCTAAAAAAACAGGTCTTTATTGCCTCAAGCTGAGCTCCCAGAACAGGTGGCTCTCTTTTGAATATTTTTTTCTGTCCCGCATATAAAATGTAACAATTACATTTGGTTAACATGTTTTGAGCCTTTATCAATAACAAACATTTCATAAGTTATTTGGAAAATATGAGAATGTTAGGGACTGTATCTGCTCTGTCTCACTGAAGAGAGCTCAATCAGTTGTCAGAACTTGTTTAAACACATAAATCTGCATCTTGTGTTGAGAATTAGTGATTGCGTTAGTACGTGCAGAATCCATGCTCCTGCTGCTGTTCAGTTAGTTAGGTATGGCTTGGCAATAGAGGGTGATTTCCTTAAACTGTTGTTTGAAATGATCAAGGACGTTTGAAAGCAGCCACCCCGCTGCTGAGTCATAGCCTACTTCGGTGATCTTTGCTCACAAGGAGGAATGCTGATATTTTAATGTAGAATTATAAAATCTCAAAAAGAAACATAAGAAGTGTTTATATTCAATGATGTTAAACAATGTCCTCTCCTGGAAAGTAGAACCAACCTTATCAAATCTCAATTGTTTCCAGCCATATTAAATAAGCAATGGTAGCACTTTTCCCTTCAAAAAGTCAGTAATCCAGAGCAGATATCAAAGATACATTTTACTTTAGTAGAAACCTACTAATTTAATACTCTGTTGCAAAATGAGTCTAGCAAATGCTTGCAGAAGAGAAACAATAGACGTTGATACTGACTGGACCGGAAAAAAATGTAAAACATTCCATAATTGGAATTATAATTAGGCTCCATAACTTAAACTCTCTAGTCGTTACATCTTCTATCTGCCAGCATCTTGGCTGTCATGATGACAAAGTGCATGTGTTGTTTGACTTAAGGAAAGAGAAGTATAAAGACTGAAATTGTCTATCAGGTCATCCTTTTTCCTCACTGATTAAAATTTTGGTTGCTAATTGAAACTAATACTGAATTAGGTAGACTATCGGTTCCTGTGCCGATTTGGCAATGCTTGTGGGTGCAGAAAAACATGATTGGCTTTGTATGTGAATGACCAGTTCTTGATGAAGGCAATAACAGTATGCAAATAGAACTACTGCCATGAATTATTGTTAATTGGATTTAATATTTGATCTTTAATTGCTTCAAGGAAAAATTACAACGTGTGTCTTCCAATAAACTATCATTTCTGTGAAAGGTGGTAGCTTCTGCTGCCTTTTCCGTCTTTCATAGGAACTGTTTGTGCTTGTAGACTGCAAAACTCATTTTTGCATGAACCTTTTTTAGCACAGCTCACTGACTCCCTTTCCTCCTACTCATTACTCGCAGAAACGCAGCTCCGTTCTTTGGTGAGCTCTGAAAGCGTGCTTGTTATAGGTTTCAGAAAAGGCAAAGTGAGGCATTACGCAGGAAACGATTCCAATTCCTGGGCCTGGCTAAGTCGTAGTGTAACTGGACTTGCATCTGCTTGTCAGTACTGACATTTGTGCTGTACCTTCTACACCTACGTGTTGCACCCTCCCAACACGTACTGCAGTCACCACGTGCAGTGCCTCGAGGTCCTCACTCTTCCAACAGTTCCTGCAAAATTCTCTGCAGAGCCCATGTTACAAATACGGTATCTTGATTGAGCTTGTGAGAAAATGGAAAAGCTGCCTTACTTGTCATTTTTGGATTGAAATTTTAGGAACAATCTAGCAGATTCTGAGACCATAATAAAGACATTGGCCCTTTTTCCTTTGTAAATAGAGGAGATAAATTTTTTGAAATCAGAAATTCAATTTCACAGAGAGGTCCAACTTTAGCACAGAGGGGAAGATGAACGTGGGAGATGGGGATGCTCCAAACGTTTACCAACGTTCCTTCACGTCAATTTCTAGTATAATCAATGGGGAAATTCACTATTTAGTCAATAGACTGGTCATCAGAAATCAAACAGTCATAATCAAGTAATTGGAAACATTTCTCACTGAGTGTCATTCCTATCCGGGGACCTTTTAGTAAAGTCTGTGATACAGAGTTGTTCATGTTAATGCAGTTTTCAGAAAGCAGATTTTTTGCAGGGGGGACCCCAAACCAGACAAAGATCTGCCTTAGGCGGTTCCTTTGTTGCAGAGCAGCAGGACACCTCAGCGACCCTCTCGTTCAGAGAGAGCCTGGTCAGACGAAGGCTGCAGCCAGTACCAGGGAAGCTCGTCAGTGGTTGCACTTGCTCAGAGAAGCTGGTTCCCTTTCAGAAGGTTACACAATTAGCAACATTTGTTAACCATTTTTTTTAAAGGTAAGACTGGGCTTGACTGGAGGTTGCTTCACTTTCTTCTCAAAGGCAAGTCTTACGGGGGATTAAGCGCTGCAGGCAGGGCGGCTCCCGCTTCGCTCTCTTCCCCCAAGCTTTTCCTGGCTGCCTGAAATCCCGCGCCAAAAGAGTTCCACAGCGTGGCGCAGGGCTGGGGCGCAGACCTTCCACGCATCGTACCTTGCATGCTATGAACGGACAGAGGGAGTTTCCTAGATAGTTTTATTTAGAAAAATGACATCTTTTCTCCCAGATGCCTTTTCCCCTTCTAATAAAATGCAATGCTCCAAAGTCCAAATGTACAGCCTGTTCACAGAGTCTACACGCCTCTTGCTAGGATGAGACAGAGACATTGGAATGCTTCAGGATATTTTTCAAAAATACTTTCTCTCTGCATCTTGCAGATATATATTTATATATGTATACATATATGTATATGCAGTCAGGCAACTCCTTTGGTGAGGTGTGGAACCCTTCTCAAACACATATCGAGAGGGAATACAGTCCTAAATTGAGAAAACTGAGATTGATGTAGTTTATCAGTATCTAAAAAGGTGAAAAGAAAAATTCTCCTTTGGCATCAAAGGGAAAAATTAGGACTTCAAAGTAGTAAAGGACATAATTTTATTATGTAGCCTTTTTCAATGTTGCCACTGCACCCTTCAGTACTTCCCTGTGTTTTGCTCTGTGACCTGTTACATAGGATGCTCAGTTAGTTGCAATTTTCCTGAAGTACAGCATGATGGACCGTCCAGGAATTTAACTTCCTTTATTCAACATGCAGTCCCGGAGCGTGCTACAGTCCTAGGATTTGGTGAGATACCATCACTAGACAAAAGGCGGTTTGCCTTGTACAAGCCTGTGTCCGATCAGGGGCAGAGCACGCAGGTCTGATTGCTTTTGCTTAAGGACAAGCTGTTTGGGAAGGTGCGGAGCAGGGCTGCAAGAACAGGCCTTTGGAGAATCATAAGCACAAGGGGAGCTGGGGTTTAGCCCGGCAGGATGAAAGCTGAAACGGGTGGGATTGCTGCTGCACCTCCACTGAGCACCCAGGGGGAAGAGCCATCGCAGGGGACAACTTGGCACAAGAGCAAGCATGCCGAATGAAAGAACCGGCCACAGAAATCCTCGGGGTGAAAGACGGTTTCTAATTCGCGGGAGGCTAGCGGGGCCTGCCGGCCTTAGCACGGCGCAGCAGCAGCGCAACCCCCATCCCACGGCCCGCCGCCCT